AAAAAAAAAAAAAAAAAAAAAAAAAAACGAGCAGTGTAACAACAACAACCCCGCCCCCCTGTTCGTCCCTCTCCTCTGCCGCAGCGTGGCTGCGGCGCGTCCACTTGTTGTAGATAATGGATGGAAAGGAAGGAAGGAAAGGTCATGCATTGGGGGAGGGAGGTCAGGAGGATGAGGAGAGGATGAGGAGAGGATGAGGAGAGGATGAGGAGGGCAGTAAAGAGTAGGAGGGCGCAAAGCATTGGGTGAGACCAGGGGGACAAACGGGACGGAGAGGAGGTGGCTGCAATGCATCCGGGGAGGTTGGGGGGATGAGGGAGGTGAGCAATAGGGCGAGTGACACATGAGGAAAGGTCAGGAGGGACCATGGGGAGGAAGAGTGGAGGGCTTAGAGCATCGGGGCCGGTTGGCGGGACAAAGGGGATGGAGAGGATCAATGCATTGGGAGAGGAGGGGCAGTGAGGTGGGGGGGAGGCACAATATCAAGGGGATGTGTGGCGAAGGTGGGGGGAAAAGTACAGAGAACGCGGGGCGAGACACGGAAGAGGGAAAAGACAATGAGGAGGAGAACAGGGATAGGGGCGGAGGGGAGGGTGCAAAGGCGATGGGGTTGAAGGATAGTATGTCGATTGGAGAAGAAGAGCGGGGATAACGAGAGGCTGGGGAGATGAAGGAGATGGGGGGGGAGGGGGGAAGGTGGGGGGCAGGCATGGAGGGAATGCATCGGGCAAGCGCATATAATCAATCGAAAAAGGTGAGAAGAAAAGTGGAGTACATGTTTCGCCAACACTTCATTTCTTAGTGGGCAATGATTCAACAGGTCCTCAAGTGCAATATTAAGTCTTTCAGATACAAGTTACTACAAGACTGACAAAGTTCATGGTGGATGCCATCTTCTTAGTCCTTAGACTCCTTACCTTACCCCAAAGTATTCGACCACCATTTTCACTGCAATGAACAGCAAAGTTAAGGCCACTGGTCGCTGCAGTAAGGGTTCATCTTGGGCGGCAGCTGCTATGCAGCTATACAGACATCTCAGACCAACAATTGCAAACAAGTTGGAGAAGTAGATTACGAAAGGATCTGAAGATACCCCAAGCACAGCTGGAATGGAGTCAACTGCAAATATCACATCTGTAATTTCCACGCAGCATAGAACAAGCAGTAATGGCGTCACTTGCACCCGTCCACTCTTCCAGATGATGAATTGACTTCCATGCTCGCCATGCAGACCACTGCCTGACTGAACCAAATGGTTGAGCATTTACAACACACATTATTCCACAGCCAAAAACACACCCAAATTTCCCGAAATCAGAATTTTAGGCTCAAAATTTTTGCCTCAAATAGATAAAAGTTCATAAAACACCTAAGAACTTAGTAAGAAGTTAAAAACATCACATCCAAAGTTCCAAACTCTTTGACTCATATATACTTTTTTAAGTTTTAACAGATGAAATGAAAGCTACTCTTTCTCTCATATGTTGTCAGCTCCTGGTGCTTATATTCGATGCGGTTGCTCTCTGGTGCATCACGATGCACGAGTCATTTCCATACATGCTTCCTTGCACTGACCAACTTCCAGCGTATCTGGTTCTTGGTCTCAACTTGGTAACAAAAAACACTGCTCTGCAAGTGCCTGCACATTTCTGAACAAGGTTCCTTGAAGGTTGAAGCCACCTTCTATGTGGCAGTATAGCTCCTTTGCTGCTGCACAGAGGGACGACGAATAAGACAAGCACTTAGCCTCACATTTGGGGAATAGGATTTGTGAGATATAGTTTGAAAATTTCTGCAAGTCAGGTAGGTAAGTAGTCGCAAAACATTTGTGATAAACTCTGTTCATAGACATACAGCCACGTGCGAGGGTCGTCACTTTCGGTCAAAGGCCAGAAACAAGGGCCAAAAGTCGCGTCCCAGGTCTGAGAAATGTCTGAGAGAGGGCCGAGGGTCAAAACGGGGTATCAAGGTCTGAGTCAAAAACAGCGGCCAGAGGCCCCACGTGAGTTGGTTGACTCTTGGAAACTCAAGAGTCAGACCGAGAACGGGAAAGGCAGGCCCAAAGTCAAAGTCAACCCCGTAGTCAGCCTCGGCCATAGATCAGATGCATATCAATGGTTGTCTGCAGGTATCCGGAAGATTCCAGTTACCACTGGATAAAGGTACCACTGCTTCAAGGCTGCATCCTGGCCGTCAAGATCTGGCAAATCTGAAGCGTCTGCTGGTCAACTCTACATAAGGTCAGCCACACCACTGGGGAAGGCATTTTTCTTTTCGCTGGCTTGACACTAGTACTGCTACGCGAGGCCGCTGGAGTGTGATACTGGCACCAGATGCTGCTGGAGGGTGCCAGCCTAGACGGAGATTATGTTGACGCGGCCATAGCCACCATAGCTGTAGTCAGGTGATGAGGATTGGCAAGGAGGAGGAGGATCAAGGCTGCGAGACTGATGGGAGTTGAGGGGAAGCTTACCTGGACTTACCTGGCTGAGGTGACGACAGGGGAGAAGCCCGAAGTGGAAGTGGCAAAGGAGAGAGGCATACATGTATTATTCATTACTATTGGTTCTCTCCTCCTCTTCTGTGTCTTCCCTCTCCTCTTTCTCTTTCTCTCATGCTCTTCTTTGATGAGACAATGCTTCTGAATTGTGCATACGATCGAGACATGGACTTGTAATTGACTTCGGGGACTTCATGATGTGCGCTGGGATGATAGTCTTAAGACTTGTATTGCATTGCTGACTGGCTTCTCAATGAGACTGGGTCCATTGTACATTGTGCACTCTCTATGTTTAACCAAACAGTTTTTAAATTATTTCTAAGGTTATGTGCCTATGCCGTAGACTCCGCCCTTCCCCCCCCCCCCCCCCCCCCCCTCCTCCCTCAAAGAAAAAAAAAGGGGTGTGATCGATATCATCTTCATCACAATGATATGACGAATGTTCATCAGCATTGTACCTGATGTTTCTCAGCATAGGGGCTAGTCAACTTCTGCAACACACTCATCACTAGCATGATCATCACGACTTTCACAATTATTTACAAGTTATCGTCATTTTCGTATGGGGAAATTGCGAAGGAGTCCTTCCCGACATCCGTTAAAATTGGAACGGTACAGAGAAGATTAGCATGGCCCCTGCGCAAAGATAAGTGGGAAGTTGCAGAGGCACAGTGGCAGCAGTACCTGCAATGGGAAGCACTTTTCTTGCAATCGCAATGATTTGATTGTTATTGGCGTTGTCTCCATCGACTGGCAATTGATCGGCAGCACAGAATAACATTTTCAGGCCACTGTATATAAGCATGGCAGAGAAGATCAGAACGATGCTGCCCATGGCTTTCAGAGCCCAACTGCCAAGGAAAATCATGACTCCCCTTAATGCAGCAGCTCCAATCAAGCCCCAGAACAGCACTACTTCCTGCACAAGCCAATTGCAATGAAGATGATCATAATCATAAATCATCACAATATCAGAGAAAGCCTCAGAAAGGGCATTTGTTGCACTTCATTCCCTGCACTAGCAATTGCTTGGGAATCTCCAGTTGCTCTATCTAGATGCATGCTGAGCCAGTAGGCAGGTTAAGGGTTCGAACATCGAATCCCTTTCCTCCTACTCTTCTGTCACACAAAGTCATTGATGGATAGTAGGATACCCACCATCACTATCTTGACACTAAGTTGCCAATGGCAGACACAGTTGCAGTTGCAAAGTGATAGAAACTCCACTTGCGGCGCATCATATGTTCACAAAGTGCCTGAGTGTCATGCAAAGCCCATGTAATACTTGGACGCCCCACGATGAGCATAATAGCAGGACATTCCGAAAGTCAAAAGACTCTGAAGAGTCTGAACATTTGAAAACCAGAAAGGGGAAAATGCAAGGAAGGTATGTCTGTGGACAATCTAGAAACGAAGGTGCACTGTATCGAAGGCGATGAAACAAACAAGGAGCAGACCTGGGCCTCCCTCATCCAAATGCTAGAGATAGGAGATCAGAAGCAGATGGCAGCAAATCAAGAGTGCAGACCTCCCCAGGACTGCATAGGCAAACTCGAGAAAAAAGGATTTTTATGATTTTATCAGAGACTGGCCTTTTCAATTGGAAGGTTGCTACAACTGAAGAGAACAGATTGTGTTCGACGAACTGGGACCCCAGCAAATCAGATGCTTGTTATGAACCTGGTTGCTTGTTGTCAATTGACCAACACTCGCTCACATAGACTTCCAGATATGCCCATACATACACAGAAGGAAGGGGAGAGGATGGGAGAATCACACCGCACAGGGAGAGATAAACACAGTGGAAGACTTGACCATGCGATATGACAGAAAGCACTGACAGTGCAATTCACTTCACAGAATCCTCACAACCAGTCACAAAGGAAAGCCGAGTAGATCACATCCAAGAAACAATGAAGCAAAGATAGTCTGCACACAGTATATACATTGTTTATTAAACTCAGAGTCTCGAATTGTCAGGAAAACCCCAGAACTATGCTGCGCTGCTCAGAATTGAGCAGTGCTTCACTCCCCAACCCTGAGTAACCGCTATCTCTACCCCTGAGTCCCTGCAACATCAAACGCCACCCAGATACAGCCTCCAGAAGGCATCACCACCCTGAAACAGGCCTCTGAGGCCAAGCGCCTCTCAGATTATGAAGAAGAAGACCAGCGCCACAGTGTCTGATGATGACGAAGTGCCGAATGACTTCCCGGGTGGAAGTCTGCAGCAGCGCCACCTCTCCTGACAAGATGATCTCTGAGGAAGAAGGGTCCAGCAGGGCACCAACTTCTCTCACCTCCAGCAGACCTCGCGTAGCCCAGACCTCTGAGCAGCCCTGCGTGCTGTAAGAGTACAGTGTCAGTCCCAGCTATGGCTGACACTCCGCAGGTCCGGCTATGCCCATCTTCTCCAACGCTGAAGCTGTCACCACTTCCAGTTCACGCGTTGCACAGCAGCAAGATGTACACGGTACCAACTGCCACAAGCCCTGAACCGATGTCCTCCTCCTATCTATAACCTACACTAGCCTAGACACGATCTAGACCGGACTGACTGGACCGACCAGTACCGTTTCAGTTTCGGCCTCTCGGCCTCTACCTACCCAGCTATAGGCTATAGGACCGTCTATCAGCATAGGCCCTTAGGGCCTGTCTGTCCTAGGGGTAGTCCGGGCCTGCTATTCGCAGTTAGGGTAGTTGTAGGTACTGTTAGTTAGTATGGGCCTGTGTTTTCCCGAATTTACAGATATGTCCCTCAAGAATTTTCCTCACAGGTAGGTCTCTTGGTTAGCCCTCAGCCAAACAAAAATTATGAATCTATCCTAACTGTAGTACAGCCTTGACAAGAGAGGCTACAGGCAACCAAAACCAGCAAGTCATTGCAGACCTACCCTCCCCCGGAGCGAGGACCTCCAAGCTAGGGGCGTTGTCGAGCGCATCGGTCCGACACCACTCAGAGGTAGCGCGGGACCCTCCCGGCCGCGTCACGCAGGAGTCAGAGTACACATCCCGTTGTGGCACATACACGGAGCTTCCATAAGCCGCTCTGGCCGGGTGCGCCAGCTATACCTCTCGCGAGCCCCTACGACAGGACAGGGCCTACGCGAGGCACGACTACCTCCACCTTACGGGAGCTGTCACCTCCCTTCGGTGGGCGTATCCCCACCGAGCTACCAGTCCACAATACGAAAGCTGATCAGCTGCAATCGCAGAGGTGGACCAGCCGAGGGCGTTTCTCATTCGCTGTAGCATAAGGGGTACGCGCGGTACTACGCCTCTATCGGACCCGCACGCGAACCGACATCTTGGGGGGCTGAGGTCCCAAGCGCGGCTCGTCGCTGGTCGACTAGGACGTATCCCACACGCCACGCGCACACCACTATAAGGTACATAAAAGTAAAGCACACGCACACGAGTATTGAACGACGCAAAGGACGTACAACGCGACACCCTCCTAGTCCCTTAGTATCCATCCCATAGCTTCCCGGTGCGGGAATCGGCTGCGCGTCGTGCGCGAGACTTAATATAAAGTCGCGCGGGCGTATGCCTTCTCGTATCGGCTAGCAATGCCAACGCACACAAGCAGTCGCGAAGATGGCGTACTATGCAGTGCCCATAATCGAGCGGTCCCTCGTGGATCCGAGTACCGCTTATGACATTCACGTGTCAGACTCGAAGTATCGTGAAGGTTCCGCCCTTCACGACATTGCACGGCTGAAAGACTAGCCGTGCGGCCGCCGCGGCACGTCCGGCTTTCGGCCTGAGTGCCCTGGCAGTCAAGGCAAATAGGCTCTACCCGAGGGGGGTCCCCTTCAGTGCAGGGCCTAGGGCTTGGGATGTCCTGGACAAGGACCTTGAATCCCGGCCTAGGACCAACGTCCGACTAGCAATCTTCAAGAAGCACTTATATAAGTAATGGGGTCATCCTTTCTCTACTAGCCCAACCCCTGATTAACTCCTTAGCACGCGGGTCCTTTTAGGCCACACAAGTACCCTACATAGGTACGCATACATACGTATATACACACATATATACTCATATGGGAATGAACGGGTGACGATCACATCTCACAATCACAGTGGGTCTCCTCATGCACATATATAGACTCGCAGGGCAGTCCAATCCAATAATCCAAGTCACAGAACATACTTGCAATCACATCCAATAGTCAAGCAGAAGTCCATACACTACACGGAGTCAACTCCAACCAATCTCCATGCTCATACCCTTCGCCTCAGCCATGCAAGCCCCAACCTCCAGCCAACCAACCTTAAGTAAATACTCAGTACCTTTGTTAAATGGCCATTCAATAAAAGTCCGGGTGAAACCTTAACAGAACAGAAAAGACCACCGGGGCTGAAGCCTCTTTAGGTTGAGTAAGGAGAGTGGGTTGAGGTTGAGTCATAAACCGACGAGTCGGCAACCGAGCTGTTATCTGTGATAACAGAAGGTGATCCTTGTAGGATCACGTTGGACCTAGTCCAAGTCTTGAATCAATCGACCAAGGCGACCTGTAACACAAGACAGGTCAGTCTTAAGCTAAGTTTATACGTTCAGAGAGAGTAATCTCCATATCCTCACCTTACTCAAGTTATCATATCTAACTAAGTCTAAGTCTACCTCTAGATAGCACTCCGCAAAAGGTGGATCTCGTCATAGCCTCCCCTACATAGGTCGCCCCCTGTCCAAATATATTCTAACTCCTCTAAATTAGGAAAATTTCGGCAGCGCTTCCCGTAGAAAAAGTGATATCGCAGAAAATATACTAGTCCAAAAGTCCGACTTTTGGCTTCCAGAAGGCCAAAATTTGTCTAACTCCCTGGCCTAGCAAAAATTTGGGTAGCACTCCCTTCAGGGAGGAAGGCTTCCCAGATTCATACTAAGTCAGAATTGAACTTTGACATAAAGTCCAAGTTCTGTCAGATAGAATCTCAACCAACTCCTTAGATTTGTAGAAATTTCGGCAGCGCTTCCCGTAGAGAAAGTGCTAGTCCAAGATTTATACAAAGCTAAGTTTGGAATCTGAAAGTGACTTTGATTCTTCAGGGCCCAATTTTGGCCATCTCCCTGACTTAGTAAAATTTTGGGCAGCACCTCCTTTAGAAAAGGAGGCTCCCCAGATTCTTACTAGGTCAAAAAGTCATCAAGGCCGGATCCTGAAAGAGTCAAAGTTTTGACGAACTCCTTGATTTTGTAGAAATTTCGGCAGCGCTTCCCGTAGAGAAAGTGGCTTACCAAGATTTATACAAGACCAAGTACGAATCAAAAGATCCCAGAAAATGCAGAAATTGATCTAAGTAAAAAAAACGAGCCCAGAAAATGCAGGAATTGACTCTAACCCCTATGGCTCTAGCACTTGGCGAGCAACTACAGCAACTACCTATCAAATCCAAACTCAGACTAAGAAGTGGCATCACTCAGTCACATGCAGGCCAAACCACAGACATGCACTCTCTCAACATCCCCAAGTTACCTTTAGCAACCAATAATTCGTAGTCTTTCAATGATTTATCCCTTGTACCCAGCTTACATAGGGCATAAGGCTAGACCACCCAAACTTATGGAACATGTCTAGCCCAGCCAAGAAGTATACACAAACACAGGGCACAACAACTTTTCTCTTCTTTGGGCATATGACTAGGCCATCCTAGTCGCCCTGAACTGTTTAAGTATCCAAGGTTTATATAATTGTCTGTACTTAGTCTTTTGAGGTAGCATATAGCTGAGCCGATCATCTTCATCTCAAGACTCAGCCCGCCCCTTCGTACCACAAGTTTATTCTTAGTTAAGTACTCTCTTCAGTTGGTGATAAGCTATAGTCAGGCCACCCAAACTTATGGAACCCTGCCAGACTAGCCTGTTCATAGATAGTATAATAGTAAAGTATATCAAAGTTATAGCCTTCTGGTTCCAGC